TTGTTACTACTAGTAGGGCACTTGTTACATTCTTTTTGTCGGGTCATTTATCAAGTCAGGATGGAATTCGTCGAGGGGTTGCTGAACCTTTGTTTGCTTGATCCTCGGCTTTGATTTTCATTGAATCTACGAGCCTCTAAGAGCTTTATTCAGCCTTCCTTTTTCAGCTGATGGCTTGTTTCGTTTCTTTTGTTGCTCAAGATCAAGGGCATGCCAATCTCAACGATTCAGTGCTTAAAGCTTCTGCAACTTTTGCGGGGTGGATTGGGCCGCATGGACGAGAAGATGCATGTTCTAGGGGCTCAAGTCAGTGAGCTTCACGACAACATCTGCGGAAGCGTCATCCGCAACGTTCGTGTCTGAGAGAATGGCGCATGGGAGGAAAGACACAATACGTCCTCTTTGAGAAGAGGAAAGAGACACAGAAGCTTCTACACTCTGCGGAAATTTGTGCAGAAGTGAGTTTTGGGAGAATAATAGCTGAATAGATGAATAAATGCTGAGCTTTGCCAAGCACGCTCAAACTGCGCTGAATACGATCAGCCCACACTGCCAAGCAGTCGGTGGGATGTCCTTTCCACTAGCTGAAAAAGGTGTCAGTTCTTCAACTAGCTGGGCTGATGTATTGACTCAGTTGAGTCTAAAGATGTCTAAGTTAGACAGAGCTACACAGGTGTCAGAGAGGTGTCTCGAACAGCATCGCTACGAACGGAGCAAGGACGCTACTAGTAGCTCTTGGCCGTATTACTAGGAACAAGAAGCTACTAGGGGCTCCTGGCTGTACTACTAGGAGCAAAGATGCTACTAGTAGGTAACTCGGAAATCTCGCACTCTTTTAGGATGGCACTGTGCGCCCAAAGCATTCGCGCTACCCGACTGCAACACTTGGCTGTGATGTCGATGCCAGGACGTATCACAGGTTTGAGTCCTAGTTTGAGAACCGTTTTTTAGTCTAGACAGTTTAATTACGCAGTGTGTGCAAATGGGGTATTTCTACGAAGGGTCAATGATTGGGTCATTGTTTGTTATTTGCAATGATCCCCAGCCTCTTGAGCAATGGCAGCGCCAACAGCAACCTCTACGTTGCTGGCCTTCCTCCAAGCACCAGCGAGGAGATTCTCCGACAACTCTTCAAGGAGTTCGGAGAAGTACCTTGAAAGCAACCCGTGAGTCCAATGTGGCAGCCTTGAATGACGTAAGAGCGATGGCCTCCAACATCCTCCAACCTACTCGCATGCTTGTAACAACCAAATATTCATGAGTTGTGTCCCTTTTCTTGATGATTCCTCTATCGTTCTTGAAAAAGACCGAAAGCCCACACCTGCTTTTTTGTGACAAGTGGGAGGTAGCACAGGACAAAAGGCGGTAGCAAAAGGCGGTATAAGTGGCTTTGAACATATAAAATGCATGTAAGTCTAGTGCTGTAAGTCTAGCAACCCACATTGTTGTTCCAAAAGCATAGAGTCAGGCATTCCAGACCTACAGCAGGGCAGTGTTCCAGCCAGTCCGACCAAAAGGGTAAGAATATACAGATAGCACTTGTCACAGCACCTGCTACTACGTTGCACCGCAGGTCAATCGCCATGACCTTTTCCAGGTGTGGTGATCGATAGGTTCACACTCCGACATTGGTTTGCTGTTAACTCAGTTCCCACGATGAGAAGGAAGGTGATGGAACCGAAGGAATGGCAAAGTCCGCAATCAACTGAATGTTGAACAAATGTTTACGCATGTCGACAAAGTCTCAGCGGTGGCAACGCGCAAGCGGCGGTGAAAAAACCTGTTGTAGGGGAAGTATCATGAAGGACCATGAAACAAACCGTGGAAGAGTAGGGTAACAGCTTGTGAGAGAACGAGCAGGTACGTCCAGCTGGCCAAGCTGGATATCCCATTTCACTGGTAGCTTCGTTGGACACAGTCCCAGTGAAATGCTGTGTCCCTCTGCACGAAAAGGAGGTAAGTGAACAGTGGAAACCCTTAGATACAGGGGTTGACACACACACTCTGACACTTGTATTCAGTGACTCAGTTCCCACGTCCAGAAGGAAGGTGATAGAACGGCATGGTGAAAGGTCCAAAGACTTGAAGGTGTTTTAACATTGAAGTTTCTCATCTGCAGCGGTGCGACGACGACGCGCGCGGGCGGCGAGGGAAAGGGTTTAGGGGAAGTAGCATGAACCACCATGGAAACAAACAAAGAAAGAGTGGAGTGACAGCTTGTACAACAGTTTGGCAGGTACGTTTGCAGCCCCCCTCAGTGGCCTCTTCGTTGGCCATGCGCCACTGGGGAGGGGGATGGCCCCC